TAATATTCACAATCAACAATATCCACCAATATTACAAACGAGCAAAAGATTTACAAACAAGCACAATATTCACAATCGAGCATAATATTCACAATCAACAATATCCACCAATATTTACAAACGAGCACAATATTCACAATCGAGCACGGAGGTCGCGGAGGCGGCGGCGATGCGGTGGCAGCGGCGGAGGTCGCGGAGAAGAGGAGAGGGCCGGGGAGGGAGGGTTTCGGTGAGGGAGAAGAGAGAGAGACGAAATAAGGAAAGTGCCGATTTATTTTTTTTTATTAACCGAAAAACAGACTAATTCGAGTTCAATTACACTATAATTGACTTCAATTGTACTAACTTGACTTCAGTTGTACTAGTTCGAGTTCGATTACACTATAATTGACCGAGATTGTATTAATTTGACTTCAATTGGACTAATTCGAGTTCGATCACACTATAATTGACTTCAATTGTACTAATTGGACTTTAATTGTACTAATTCGAGTTCGATTACACTATAATTGACCGAGATTGTACTAATTTGACTTCAATTTGACTAATTCAAGTTCAATTGGACTAATTCGAGTTCGATTACACTATAATTGACTTCAATTGTACTAATTTGACTTCAATTGTACTAATTCGGGTTCGATTACAATATAATTGACTTCAATTGTACTAATTTATATGTTATATATTATGCTATATGTTATATACTATATGTTATATGTTATATACTATATGTTATATGTTATATGTTATATACTATATGTTATATACTATATGTTATATGTTATATACTATATGTTATATGTTATATGTTATATACTATATGTATTATACTATATGGTATATATATTATATGTTATACGTTATATGTTATATACTAATTTGACTTCAATTGTACTAATTCGAGTTTGATTACACTATAATTGACCGAGATTGTACTAATTTGACTTCAATTGTACTAATTCAAGTTCGATTACACTATAATTCACTTCTATTGTACTAATTTGACTTCAATTGGACTAATTCGAGTTCGATTACACTATAATTGACCGAGATTGTACTAATTTGACTTCGATTGTACTACATCGAGTTCGATTTCACTATAATTGACCGAGATTGTACTAATTTGACTTCGATTGTACTAATTCGAGTTCAATTGTACTAATTCGAGTTCGATTTCACTATAACTGACCAAGATTGTACTAATTTGACTTCAATTGTACTAATTTGACTTAGAATTGTACTAATTCGAGTTCGATTTCACTATAATTGACTTCAATTGTACTAATTCGAGTTCAATTGTACTAATTCGAGTTCGATTTCAAAATCATCCAAATACATTATAAAAATCATCCAAATACAAAATATTTATCTCAACAATACGATTCAGTCAAAATACATATAAAAAAATCTATTTCCCCCAATCATCACGGAGTCTAGTTCGATCGGTGGGAGGATGCGAATACGGGCAACGGTCCGCGAAATGTTCGGGATCACCACATCTACTGCATTGATCCCGGACTCTTCTGCGGCGCGCTCGACAATCTATTTGCATTTTAAATCGTCTCGTTTGGGCGCGACTGGGTCCAGGCTTCGAAATGATCCTTTCCCAATGCGGAATCAAATTCCATCCCACCTGCGGCCACGTGTCAGGATTTCCAATTGGAGCAAAATTCCAATTAGAAAATTGAGCAACCCAGTTCTCAGTCCAAAAGTGGGAATCGTACAACAAGTGCGGTTGATCACCCCGGTGACGACAAACGGCCAATGCATGAGAGCATGGTTTCCAAAATGTCTGCCACTTCTTACATGTACAACAATGCTGCTGATAATAAGCCGTAAACCTATTTTCCACAATGATTTATATATATAAATAAAAAAAAAAAATCATTTGAATGGAAAAAAAAAAATCCAATTAAAAAATACATACTTGTTTTGCCCTCTTCCACTGGCGCGGAGACCGGTTGTCACCCTGTACTGGGATCCGTCGGCGTCCACACCTTGCACCTCGTGAGTCGCTGTTGTCCTATCCAACACCAGATAGGCGGCATAGAGGTCGGTAGGAATGTGACTCCTGCATCCTCTGGACTTGTTTTGTTCCTGTTGAAACAAATCCAGAGTCTTGTTCATTGTGGCATGTACCAACGTTCTGCAGGGCAGGAACCTAACACCTTTGAGGACGTTGTTGTAACTCTCTGATATATTGGTTGTCAGAGTGCCCCATCGACGTCCTCTATCTCCATACAGGGTCCACTTTTCCAAAGGAATTTGGAAAAGATAATTGTATGCTTCCGGGTTACATTCATGGAGTTCCTGTCGACTCTGCTCAAATTTGCGGCGAGAACACAGTGAACCCAACCTCCAACACAAACCCCAGAATTTCTTAGTCTGGTACCTTGAAAACACGTTGCTCCGGAGGTGTCGAAGGCATATCCGATGAAATGCATGGGGTACGTGCCAAGCCTCCAGTAAATCAACGGCACTCAATATGCCGTTGTCCCTGTCAGAAAGAAGACATATCGGTCTGTCGGGGACGACATGATAGCGCAGATGTGTTAGGAAAAAGGACCAGCTAGCCGTGCTTTCTTCGTCCACAATCGCATACGCGACTAGCAATAGACACTTATTCGCGGTCTGTGCTATGGCAACAAGCAGCTTCCCCTTGTACGAACCTGCTCAGTTGGACATATGTTTTTTTATCAGACACTATTGTAAATTAGAAAATAAAAAATTAATTTGTAATTAACAAGTAGCTTCCCCTTGTACGAACCTCGCAGGTGCGTGTCGTCGATGCTAATAATCGGCGGGCAAAGAAGGAAGGTTTGAATGGCGGGGCCGAACGCCCAGAAGACAAATCTGAATTCTCTGTCTCGAGATTACTTCGCCATTTCCCCACCCTACCATTCCCACTCAACGACTGTACCGGGATTCGCCCTTTGAAGGGCGGCGAAAAACCTGCAAATTATAAAAGGTAACCATAAATAAATAAATAAATATAGTTACAAACAACACGTAGATACATTTATAATTAATTTTTGCTTACTGGGGGAGTTGTGCGAAGTTCGATTCCCACGTGCCATACAGACGATCGATAGCTTTTTTTCTCCCGTGCCATGCCTTTTTGTAGCTGACATCGATGCTCCACGCGCTTTTTACGTCAGTCTGGACCATTTCCACACTGTAGGTCACCTGCTTCTGAATCTTAGCCAACAGAAGATTTGAGATCACGGTGGCGGTCACATTCTTGTGGTCATTTCTCTCAAACACCTGCATGTAAGTGTGGCTATCGGTCCATTCGGTTACCTCCCATATGTCGTGATCCCGTTTGTTAAGACTCACTCGAGCCTTCCATATACATGGTACAACTTCATCTGATCTGTACACAACTTTGAAAGACTTCTTGTTAGAATCTTTTGTCCGGACCGCCCTAAGCTTCTCAACATTCCAGGACATAATACCAGTCCGGGCTTCTTCCTTGGTACGAAAAACTGTACCCAAACGGCTAGTCTCGACATGCCCATTCCAGACTGGCCAGGCATACTCGTCTCTGTCTACACACGACGAGTCCCACTCACCCATCTCGCGATGTACGTTGAGGCCTTCATTTGGAAAGGGGTGTTCTTCAATGAAATCTTGTTCGCTCTCCTCATTAATTGATCTGTTCGATTCGGTTTCCGAGGTCTCATCAGTGAAATCGTCTTCCCCGGGACTGAAATCTTCATCTCCAACAATTTCTTCCTCAATGTCCGGTCCTCTCATGGTAAAGCTCATCCCTTCGCCAAAATTACTCGTCCCTTCGCCGAAATTACCCGTCCCTTCACCAAAATTACCGGCATGCGTAGTCCACGTACCCTCACCACCAAACATTCCTTCGTAACCATATGATGGCGTAGGATCCTCAACTTGTGTAACCTATGTGTTTGCTTCCAACACTATATACAAAAACACATAGGACATAGGAGGAAAGTAGTAAATCCACGAAAGAACATTATCATTATTCAGTCTTCCGGGAGTAAACGAACCATCCTGCTGTCTCGCCATCAAAGTAATATCCGAAATTGTCCAACTATCACGAAACCCACCATTTTCGTAAATCATATCTACCAAATTGTTCATATGATATTATTCCATTAATAACAAATGAACAATCCGGACGAGACATATAATTCGAAAAATTCCATAACTCACTCTGGGGAATTTTCCAGTACACATTAACAAAGTAGGGACCGTTAGACGCCATTTATAACCTGTTGCACAAAAAAAAATTCTATTTTACAAATTACAACAACACATAATGGCTAATCAAACACCCGAGAAAATTTCATTTATTATTTTACCAATCTAAATTTAAAACTCATTTCCAACAACATATAATTAATCATATTTTTACTCCAATTAACCAAATATATATCTTAAATATTCATAGACAACAAAAAAATAATATTACATTACATTAAAATAAAAACTAACCTCTTCTCCGATGATTGGTTGAAAATTTATTATTTTTTTCTAATGGAGCTTCAATTCGCCGAAAATCGAACAAAAGACACAAAAATATGTTTATGAACCAAAAAAAGAACGCGCGGTGATCTGGGGAGGTTGTTGCAGTTGTTTATAGAAACCGAAAAACGGATTTTGGAAATCCGTTTTGTTCGTTCTTTTAATAAAAACGGATTTCCAAAATCCGTTCTATTCGTTTTTTTTTTTTTACTAAAAACGAATTTTGAAAATCCGTGTTATAAATTAGAACTATTATTCTTATTAAATTTGACCGTTAAAAAAAAATAAAAAATAAAAAATAAAAACGTATTATGAAAATCCATTTTTTTATTAGAAAAACAGATTTTCATAATCCGCCCGTTTGATTGATTTCCACCATATTTTTTTTTTTTGCCACAGATTTTTTTTTATATATATAAATAACCCACCCCCATTATTCTCAACTATTCACAACAATTTTTATAATTTCCAAATATTCATTTTATTCAAGAATTGTTCACATAGAAATTTTGTCATCTTAATATATATTTTTTAAAATATTAACGAAGTACCCGCATCTAATGAGCAATAAAAATTAAATAATGCAAAAGCATTAGAAGTACCCGCATTACATGCCTCAAGTTGATCCCTGAAAAATCTTTGATACATAGCTATTCGGAAAAGCAAGTAAAGTTGATACTTGACACTACAATTATGTATAGTTGACTACACAAAATCGTTTTTCACCATGCAAGCAAAAAGCGTCTCAGATAGTAGATTTGATTGGACTTCTCCTTATCAGTTGGAACCTTCAAAAGCACTATTATTCTGTATCAAACCTAATCTTCTTTGGAGCAGCATGGACACAGCCCACCTGTGTGATACACATGTCAAATTAAGCAGTCAATAACCCAATGAACCTTCACATCAAATGCATTCTGACAAAAACTTTAATAACTGATTCGAAATCCTTGAAAAATATCATTTATTTGGATTTACACGATTGGCCCCGGTCATCAAAGATAAAAACCTTTCCGCACGTGCATACAGTATTAAATGAATGCAAAATGAGGGTGTAGCAAAAGAACAAAAAAGCTTCTTCTTACAATATCTGGGCAGTCATAATCAATACCAGCAGCCTCAATCCGCTTTCGGCGTTTTTTGTCCCTTTGTATTATTCCTGCAACTAATTTCTGCTGCTGTTCTAGTGTCCGTTCCTAAAATAACATCGAATTAACTGGATGTCTATTAAATGATTTATAAAAATATAAGGGCAGAAATTAACGTGATCATATACCTTATCATGCCGCTTACGCTCAATTTGAACCGAATCCAAGGGTTTGTACCAGCGGCTCACACCTTTCCATCTGAAAAGTAGTTCAGATATACAATGATTTAGCTCAAGGATAAAATCCAACCCTCCAAAACATATTTTTTAAAATAACTAAATATATGATGAAATGACTCGAACATAGTATGAACCGTGTGTTTTTAATTACTGTCAAACCTTTCCTTCATCAATTGTTATCGTGCTCTTTACCATTTCATTGACGAATAGGCAAATGGTCTTGATGTACAAATAATCGATCATAAGCAAATCACCCTAAGCCTAACTAATAACCTAAACCATATCCTTCAATTACAAACAATAAACAACAAAAATATAGAATGTCACATCCCACTTAATGAATGACCAAACAGAACACATTTCATTCCAGCAGACAGGTCATCTTATAATTAGAGATACAAATCATGATTTTAGTAATGTATTTTCCGTAAGGGTTTCAAGGGATGGACAAGTATTATTCGAAAAAAGCATCATTTTGTTGGATTTAAAAGGCAAGGGAAAAAATTGCAACTTCATGATTGCGTGAACATGTACTTACAATTTTGGATGAACTCGTTCAGGAGGAACAAGTTGAACTTGTAGCAGATGCTCATACATTAGATAATTATGCATGCATTCTTCGACAACTCTGGCTACCTGCAGAAACCAGGGTATGCATGAGAGATGATAAAACAAGTCAAAGTACTCCAAGGGCAAAATATGACCATACCACATTTCATGGAATACAAAGATAAAGATTCTATGGCTATTAATATCTTTTCTAAGTAGAAGTGAACAACCTCAGGAGACTCGAATTGAATGAATCCAAAATGCTTTGATTTCCCAGTCTGCAAAGAACTGCAAAGAAAAAAAAAAAAACGAAACAATCAATATAAGAAATGGATTAATAACCAACATGCCTTGCCTCCATCATGCATAGTACAATATCAATGAAGCTATACAATGCAAATGAAAAAAAATCAAGGAACTAAGGGGGTGATTGTTTATCAATTCACTTCACAAAAACCAATCAGAACTCAAATTTAACTCAACTTTAACCTAACTCCACTATCTCCAATATTATCAATATAATTAAATAATATCAACCAATCATTCTTACCCATCACATCAACTTTAATTCACTATTCATCCTCTCACATAATTTTAACTAACCACCACTTCCAATCATTTTTCTCTTACTTTTACATCATATCAACTTTAATTATTTTATTTTAAATATTATTTTAATATTTCCACTAACAACTAACCATACCAACTTTTTTCAAAATTAACTATAGTTAAAAAAAACCAATTAATTGCTAGATGAAGTTATAAACAATCACCCCTTAAATTTCTGATTTGAATATGGAGCAAAACATTGATGTCATTTCTATATCACCAACCAAAAGCATTCAAAAGCTTATAACTTTGCTAAACTCCTCAATTCCCACTTCCACAGCGTGAGAAGAGATAATTATAAATTCCAGCAGTAACATATTGAATATAATTTTGAGACTTTAAAAAGTAAATCTAGGTCACTTCACATTGGAAGAAATTTGATGTCAAAATTTGGTCTTACTGTTACCATGACGCTTAGATGACTTTGCAAACGACAGATTAAACCATGAAAAGAAGTAGCTCTATGCATTCCATGCAACTGACAGAAACAAAATCTAGAAAATGTCTATTTAAAATTTTCAACTATAAAGCATGGATATCAATATTACCAATGTTGTTATGCACTCTCCACAAAGTAAACAGAAGCAAACACAGTAACAGTGCAAAATTGAAGAAAGAATCCAAATGATATCACATAGCATGAAAAAAATCTATGGCAGCTACCATTAACTTCTAAAGTTATAACCCTCAATTTGTACATACATCTTAGAACCTCCTTGAACCAATTCACTAAATGTATGAAATATCCTTACAACAGGTTTTTCTCCTCTGACTTTTTCCTTAGATGGGTCAGTCAGTTGCCAAATTATATGATGCAATACGGTAATATGTAGGATATATCATCTTTTATTTAACACACAAGAATTCTTCTCATGTCTTATTGCCTATGCACTAGAATGAAATACCAAGACTGATTCAGGAAATCCCTAAACATTCAAAGAATGTAGAATAGCTATACCAAAAATGCTAACATATAGAAGGTACAGAAAGGTCAACAAAGGTGACGAACTGGCATGAGCATGCCCTTCACAAGTAAACAAACCATCATCATCTTCAGTGGGCACGCAACTAATAATATTTATTTGTTCATTTAATTTGTTCACTGATCTACGTATCTAAAGGAAGCAGAATCAACCGAAATCAACTCAATGCTTATCAGTATTGCAAGAGGGAGAACATCTGTTAGGTAAATTTCAAATATATTCATTTTGTTAAGCTAAATTGTTAGTTTAAGGTATTCCATCAATAGTCACAGTGGTCAAATATAGCAAACAAGCCTATTATACTTATGGCCTCATGAGATTAAAACTCAAATTAGGGTAAAAAAAAACAACAAAATTATACATACATACAATTGCAATTGTAGGCAAGCAAACAACATCTAGATCACTTGAACTTTTCTACGCTACATTATACATGCACAGAGTAACAAGAGGCAGCTAGCAAATGCAATCCTCTTTCCATATATTTAGTCAGTCCTCAAACAATTCAATTGGTATACTTAATTCAAGGAAACATCCAGCCCAACAGAACCAATAATATCAATCTTGGTTGAGAACAAAATAAGTAAACTAAATAAAGTGCAGAAAGCTTTATAAAACACTGACCTTCCTGTTCCTCGCAATTCTGAGTCTCTTAATTGTACCAAACTGCTTAAAAAAAGCTGTAAAAAGCCAATCCGAATAATCAAGGGTGAGGCAAAAAAATAAATAAATAAATAATGGCTGTGCTCAACACGCACAAAACTGTAAAAAATTCATGCACAAAAAGCAAATTCTAGAGGTGCTCAAGTGAGACAAGTATGACCAAACCTTCCATTTCACCCTCATAAAAACCATGGGGGATTCTCCCAATATACAATATTGTTGCTTTATTCTCTCTATCTTCAGTCCTTGGAAGGTTCCTTGCCGGGCCACCCTCCAGTGGCTGGTTTCCACGAAAAAATAAAATTAAAACAAATAAATCAGTTACTTATGCCTACCACTTACAGACTATAATAATTAAAAAAAAAGAAAAAAAAAAAAAAGCAATTAACTTATGAATGAATAACTAATTATCAATAAACAAACCAAGAAATCAGCAGTTGCATCTTTGGAAACAGAAAACTGCGTAGAGGCCTTCTTCAGAGACTTCACAGCTGCTTTCTTCTTAGCCTTTGCACCCATTTTCTACAGAATATTCAAGCTCAAAGATATGTTATCAGGTTTAGCGACAGAGCAGCACATGTTGTATTTTGGTTCCTAATGTAAGAATTTATTCACTTAAGAGAATTTGTATCCTTATGTATAAAAGGAGGATAGAGTCTAGCATGTAAAACTTTCCATCACAATTGCTCAACCCTCACTGTGCAGATTATAAACTAGTAACAGTTTTCAATTCCTCTTTATTACCTACATCCTTCAAAAGAGAAGTTCACAAAAATGCCACCTTTTGCCTCTGTGTTATCAAAACACCACTTCAAACTACTAAAAACAAAAGACGACCGAAGAGCGAAAACAACTGTTATTACAACCAAAAGATGTGCCATTCTTTTCTTTCAAATTTATCTAACCGCAATGGCCCGACAAAACAAAAATACCGTAACATTTTCAGATCCCATAACGAGCAAGCAGCAAAGAACTGACAATTGTAGCGGCTCAAACTTTCTAATCAAAAGACTTAAAAAACAGAAACCAAACAAAATTTACCATATTTCACAAGACCATACAAATTATACACACGAAAATATAGAAATAACTTTAAGGTCTAATTTTCAGCTAACAATATGTTAGGAAAATAAAATGAATAACTAGAACTACATTACACATATTCAACGGTTTATAACAATATGCTAACCTTCTTTCTACGATCGCTAGACAGTACGCTGCTTGGAGTCTGAGGGCGAGGTTGAGAGAACAAACTAGGGTTTATGACTGGCGGTTTTAACATGAAGATGAAGATTGTAATTATGATTGGGATGTTGGCAATCGGATAAGGGTAAAATAGGACTTTTACGTCTTGATATGATACGGGAATTGGATGAATTGGGCCTCTAGGCTCTGGTTGATCGATTTGGTGGGCCAGATTGCCATTAGCAAATTGTTGGGGAATTTACAATTATGCTTTATGAATTGCTTTTATTTGTATATATACCAAATATAAAATTTAATTGCACTTATACCTAACATACTCAAATATTTATATATGAACAATATAATTAGTAACAGATCAAGTCATATTGACTTACCATAACAGATTCCCGTAACTGACGGGATGCATGCCTGGAGAGAGAAACATTTTTATGTCGCTATTTTTTATTCCAATCTTCGTTTATGTCGGATATATACATGACATATACATGACATATACATACGAAAAATATAAACAGTGTATATATGAAAAATATACAGTATATATACCTACAACTACACAAACAACAAAAAATAAATATATAAATATACTACAAATATAAAGCATATATATACAGAATATATACAAAAGATATACATCAAATAGTTGTCGAGTTTGGCCACAGCACCTGATCTATGCATCAGGTTGTAGAAAACTCCAAAAACTCCCAATCCACGCTCAACACATGAAATCCGGATCTAATTTGTTTCTATTCTAAGGGCCGTCTCCTATCAACAATTTTCAGTGCTCAACACAATCAATAAAAAATATAAACACAATCAGTACTTGACCCTCCGCCGCCGATGCCCGACAAATCGAGTGCTTCTTTTATCAATCTAGCGCCCGAAGACGGTCCCACCTCGAGCGAGCACGACACGGCTTCGCTGCAACCCTCACGCGATGGTAGAGTGGGACGGGAAGCACTCCTCCAGCCTCGGCCAAGGCCTAGCCGGGCAGGCGCGGTCGCCGGAAGGTGAAGGGGGGGAAGCGGTCTAGATCTGGTTTTTTTTTCTTTTACTACAATGAATTTGCAGGGGAGAGAGAAGAGAGAGGACCGCAGAATTAAGAAAATAATCGCACTAAATCCGTTAGTTTCTGTAATTTTGGGGTTCTCGTATTACAACAAATAAAAGGTGGGATTTTGTTAAATTTGCTAATTAAATTAATTGGGTCGTACGCATGCAATATAAATGATCTTATCTGGTGAGAGGAGTAATTTTCTCCAAATTTTTTATGAAATGCGCATCTACCCATTGCTTCGATGAAAGTCGGACCAGGTTTGGACATAAGGACCAGAGTCACCAGATTCGAGCTCGGATTTGGATTGTTGTTTCGTTTAATAAAAAATTATATCATTATCTTCAAATCTAATTTTAATTTTATATTTTCAACTTTTTTTTATTTTAATTACAAAATTACTAGCTTTTATACTATTAATGGTTTATTTTTTGTTTATTTTTTTCATTGATTTTTAAATTGCATTATTCTTTGATTTATAACTAGTTTATTAATAGTTTATATATGATTTTATTTTGAATATTGCATTTTTTGTAAGAGTTTTAAAAAGTACGGTAAAATTGTAGAAAGCATTTTTCTAAATACATAACTAGGAGTGAGCTAAATTGAACCCGAGTTGAATTGATTTTGGTGCGATTTTTTTTTAAACGCCGCATGGATTGCAGTGCAGTGCGGGTCTGTTTTGTGGCCAAGGGGATTGGTCTGTCGTAGAAGGCTTTCCAACATCACTTTTCTCATTGAAAGTTCTTTTGTTAATGAGCAGGAGGATGCTTCCAGAACAGACCGAGCATTTGCTCCTGTTGAAGATTTTCATTTTCAGATGGTGCGAATTCTAATAAACTTACAAAAATTATTAGAATGTTAGACGAGCTTAAACAACTAACTTATGCAATTGATTACATTGGTCAATAACAATGTTAAACTAACAAGCATATATGTGACAAAACTTACCCCTTGCCTATATGAGGGATGGGGGCTAATTCCTTTGGGACAACAACATGCCCCTTCTTCAAACCCACAAATATATCATGTACATCCATTTCATTATCATCATTTCGGAACAAGCGGGTAATATCATTCACGTTTAGGCTGCGCGGGGTCTGCTCGGGCTGCTCGCGTGATACTTGGACCAAGGCTGAATTTTGAAGCTTGAACACTTAGAATATTTATAAGGACATGCCCAATACTCAACCAAGCATAGGACATGACTCGGCTATGCCTTAGGCTCGGGTCGAGACCCTTGGGCGCGAGTGGCTCGGGTAAATGCTAGGGTCGAGGGACTTAGGTTCTAGGGCTTGACTTAGTGCATCACAATACTTAGAAAAATTTCTAAGTATTATGCTACTAAGACTCGGCTATATTCGGAGCAAGACTAGGGCTCGAAGCCACTTATCTTCTAGGCCGAATAGTGATCACTTGTAAATCCAAATTATTGGATTGGTCTTGGCCATTAGAACACTTAGAGATATTCTAAGTGTTATACTACTAAGGCTCGAGAATTGATGGGGCGCGGCTACTAGGCTTCGAGGCTCGTGACCGGACATACTCAGTTCCGGTCACGACTTACTTGGACGATTTCTCGAAGTATACTGGACTCCGATTTAATCGTCAACTTGAATTAATTAATTCTGACTTATAAAGTCCCTTTCTGAAATAAACGGACCGAAATTAATTTCTTAAACTGGTTCACTTACTGACTAGAATTTGATCGAGAATACTTTCGACTTAAAGTCGAACTTTGAACTGGAATACTTGAAAATTAACGAGCACTTAAGCATATAAATTCCCATAACCAATATGTCTCGGGAATCTGAAAATACCGATCTCACTCTATAGTCGAGCGAGTGAGATCATTCTAATATTATAACTGTTCGGGGTGTTACAACCTATTCTCCTTAAAATATTTATGTCCTCGGAAATACAGAACTAGGGTACTAAGTTACGAAGTCAGAACTCATACTACGAACTATATACAAATGTACAAATAAATGTTCATAAGTACAACTGAACATCTCAAGACTGAAAAATCTGGATATCTGGCTGACATAACTAATCTTGAATCTGGCAAGCTACATCATCCGGTCTTGACCGGGAATCATGGGCACACTCCGGGCGGCCTTGGCTGCCTCGGAAACCTAGGAAGGGCGTTGGCCTCTCAACTCAAGCGACGAGTAGCTGTGAGGACCCACTTAGGGGTCGTTGTCCTTGGGCAAAACTTAAATCTCTTGTATACGTAACTCATTTAGGTATATGCTTGCATGAGCCAGGGTAGAAACAACTTCCACCAAATATGGGTCATGACAACTCGACCAAGAACGGGAGATACTCAACCGTTCAGGTCCTAAACTTTTCTTACATGCATATCTCTAAAATAACTGATCTGAATATCTAGGTTTGATCTCGGCCTCTCTCTCTCTCAAGTGGCTCCCGAATCGTCGTGGCGACTCCAGCAAACCTTGACGAGCTCTATATCTTTGTTTCTTAGTCGTCAAACCTTTCAGTCCAGGACTGCTACTGGTTGCTCATCATATGTCAGGTTCTGCCCGACATCCTTACTCGCCAAAGTTCACGGTATGACTCGGGTCGTACACGTACTTTCTCAACATCGTGACGGGGATGAGGTTATGTACACCTGAGGGTTCTGGGGGCAACGCCAGACGGTAGGTTGTTATGCCAACTTGCTCGAGAATGTTAAAAGGCTCTATAAACGGGGCTGCAATTTTTCCTTCTTCCTTAAACGTATAACACCCTTCATTGGCGTGACTTTCAGGAACAACTTAACTCCTTCTTTGAACATAAGCTCCCTTCTATGCTTGTTAACGTAGGTTTCCTGTCTGCTCTGCACCTCTCTCAGCCTCACTTAGAACTTGACAACCTTCATCACTGTGTCCTCGATCAACTTAGGACCGAGAACCTGGTTCTCGCCAACTTCATCCCAATAAAGGTTGAGCGGCACTTCCACCTGTAGAAAACTTTGTACGATGTCATTTGGATCGACGAGTGATAGCTGTGAGTGTAGGAGAAATCCAGAGTGGGTAACAACTTTTCCCACGATCTACTTCGCTCTAGGACACAATCCCGAAGCATGTCCCCGAGTGTCTGGATGGTCCCTTCCGTCTGGCCGTCGGCCTGTGGGTGATATGCGGAGCTGAAACTGAACTTCGTACCCTGTTTAGTGGCACCACTATAAATAGTGAAACCCTGTCTGGGGTTCGGAATAGTCAACACGGGCGTCGTCGTAAGCCTTGCTTTGAGCTTCTGCAAGCTCGACTCACAACGACTGCACCATTCAAACTTCACTGACTTCCTCGTCAATCGAGACAAGGGCAGGGCAAACTTAGAAAACCCCTCGATGAATCTTCTGTATTAGCCAGCTAGTCCGAGGAAACTCCAAACCTTAGTGGCATTTCTCGAGGTTGACTAGTTCCGAACAGCTTTAATCTTTCTTGGGTCTACCTCAATCCCTCTAGAAGTGACAATTTGGGCTAGAGAAGCCACTTTGTCAAGCTAAACTTCGCACTCTAAGAACTTAGCGTATAATTTCTCACGCCGAAGAGTCTCCAAACAGTCCTCAAGTGCTTCTCATGTTGTTCTGGGCTTCTGGAATAGACTAAATGTCATCACTGAAGATGATAACAAATCGGTCTAAGATGGGATGAAAGACACGGTCCATGAGATCCATGAACACCGCAGACGCATTGCTCAAGCCAAACGGCATCGCTATGAACTCGTAGTGTTCGCATCTCGTTCTGAAAGCTGGTTTGGCCACTTTGGCCTTCTTGATCGTCGGTTGATGATAACCGGAACGCAGATCTATCTTGGAAAATACGCTGGCTCCCCTTAGCTGATTGAATAAGCCCTCTATACTGGGGCATAAATACTTGTTCTTCATCATTAACTGGTTCAAATCCCGGTAGTCGTTGCACATACGCATAGACCCATCCTTCTTCTTGACAAAGAGGACAGGTACTTCCCAAGGTAAAACGCTCGGTCGATTGAAACCGAGACTCAATAGCTCATGAATCTGAGCCTTCAACTCCTGAAGCTCCTTTAGCACCTCGCGCTATGGTGCTTTCGACACTGGTCCCGCTCCAGGGACTAAGTCGATTGCGCACTCCACCTGGCTATTG